TTAGAACAGTTGGCTATAAAAACCGCCCCACACCCCCCTATTTGGTGGTACCGATATGTGGATGATACTCATACAAAGTTAAAGAAAATCTATGCACAGGAATTCACAGACCATCTAAACAGTTTGGACCCGGATATAAAGTTTACATTTGAACAAGAAGAAGACGGTGCACTGCCCTTCCTAGACACTCTAACAACAATCAACCAGGATAGGTCCCTGCGGGTTAACATATACCGTAAGGCGACACACACGGACCAATATCTAAATTTTTTCTCAAACCACCCTTTGGACAACAAGTTGGGTGTGATCAAGACCCTTTTACATAGAGCTAATACCATCATCAGTGATCCTGCGGATAGAAGTAGCGAGATCGATCACGTTACAGAAGCCCTAAAGAAGTGTGGCTACCCTCAGTGGCTCATTAGGAAAGCCTCCGAGCCCAGACAGCCCCGGTCTAAATCCCAAGATCGTCAGGGAACGGGAGGGAAAAACAGAAAAACACTTGTAGTCCTCCCATACGTAAAGGGTGTTTCTGAGCCCCTACGTAGAATCTTTGCTGCACACGGAGTGAGTACCTGTTTCAGACCTCATCGTACGTTAAGACAACTCCTTGTGGCACCTAAGGACAAAACTACCAAGGAAGACAAATGTGGGGTTATCTACCACATAAGTTGCCAGGGAAACACTAACAGAGGCCCCTGTCGGGAAACTTATATCGGGGAAACTGAGCGCTCACTAAAAACCAGGTTTCTAGAACATAGACGACCCAGTTCTGTTGCATCTGAGGTGTCACAGCACATCCACATAGAATCACCGGGACACACAGTGGATTTGGAGGGGGTCAGAATCTTGGATACCGAACAGGATTACTTCAAGAGAGGCATAAAAGAGGCCAATACAAATATACATCAGGTCACTTCAACCATCGCTCAACCGGGACGGGGGGCGATATCGACTTCAGACAACCTTTGACCCTTTGCTGACGTCACACGTGGGAAAAATCACGTGTCCACAGCATTTGGGTCAGATAGCTGAGGAAGACTGAGTGATTCGGTCGAAAATTTCTGGTGAGTCAAATTTTGAGTTGGAGAAAAGTTTAAGTTTTTCATAATGTCTTTCCAATATGCTTTACGGCTATTCCAAGATCAGGGTGTACAAATGTCATCTTACACTGATATAGCATTCTTACTGAATATTCGTTGCATTCTGTTGAAATTGTTGAAACAAATCATCTAAATACAAGTATTTTTCAGATAATATTGAGGCTTTTTGGTAGACACCTTATGGCAAAATATCTCATTGTACACCCTAAATTGTAATAGGACTAGCCATTTTGATTGTCATACATGGTATATCTATACGTGACACAAAACATGTGACATCATGTTGCTTGTACTTTGGATTAAAATACCAGCTGACTTTCGGTTGCCTTCTTTTTTTTATATCCGCGAAAATGTGTAGTGTCCGCAGACATGTACAGAAGGGCTCATTAACTACAATATGAATGCCATGGGTTCATATGAATTGTTTATTCTAAAACAACTAAACATGGTGGCCTTATGACAGAAGCCACTTTGATAATGGATGTAAATAAACAAAATGACAGTCATAAACTACCATGTTGTAGTGTCTGTAAAGATGTGTGGTGTCCGTAAATATTGTGTACCATATATTAAGCAAAATAAATCAGTGTAGACTGTAATCACATTTTTAAAAATAATTATGCAATTTCAAAGAAATTTGTACCCTATTTTTAGTTCTGTAACGTCATTTAACATTTGTAACAAATCGTTGGAGGATACAACGAGTATTGTTGTTTTGTGCCTAATGAGCTGTTACAGTAGTGTCCGTATAGAGCCCATGCATTGTAAAGTAACGAATGCACTCAAGTTTAAAGGAGAGCAAATTTACAACCGCTGATCGCTATCCAAAGATTTAAAAAGCATCATGCATGGGATCACCTGTAGTACGATTTTCTGTCTGTATTGAAAGTGGAAAAATGTGAAACTTGAAAAATTGGCCCAAGTGCAACTCCCCCGACCTTGGAATAGCCGTATGTGACTAGAGGAAGCAAAGAGGTTATAGGAATTCTACCTCTATGGAGAGAGTGAGTGGTAGCGTTACCACGGTAGCATGTTCCGTGTTGAAAAGAACACAAAATGTCATCCTCTTTTTGTTGTAAGATTCGACCCATAGTAAGTCAATTAATGCTGAGCATAAAATGTCCGAAAACCTCAAAACACCTGCACCCCGTAGTCAAAAGTAGTCCGGGCACAAAGTAGTGCTGCACAATACTAGAGAAAGTTGCAGAGATTGTTTTGTGCATTTCGTCGAGATGGAAATGTGGGTGAATGTTAGACAATTACGTCAGTTTTGAGACTGTAAAAGATGAATCATGGTGAGTGTTCAGTCGGCGTAGATTTGCGCTTGGACACTTATACCGACTAGTACTGTTCGTTGCCTGCAGTTCCATGACCTCCGCAGTGGCGCTAATAAAAGAGTGCGTTACGACAGAACGGGCCGGTGTCAAGCCAAATCCTTGCGATTGCCAAATCCATGCGCCAGCAATTATTTGGCTTGGTATCCACGCCAAATTCATGAGCGGTGCCAAATGTCTAAGCCATACGGTACGCGTGGGGGTTTCGAATATGCTGAATACATTTTGCTCGGCTATTGTACACTAACGTTAAATTCAATGATTACTTCAAAATATTTTAGTCTGATCAATTAAAATCTAAATTATGGACAGACAATTTCACTGAAGACAAAGTGTTGGTCGGCATTTTCAAGCGCCTAAATCTAAATCGTTGAGCGAGGTTACCGCTGACCTTTAACCTTAGAGAACATAGCCCCTAATTCGGTCTGACATACAGTTCATATTTTGTAAGCAGTGCATTTGAAGCTCAGATACTGTACAAACGTAATCATATATCAACCCCTATTAAAAGGGAAATGATTTATTATATTAAGTACGAATTTGTTGTGTTCTATTTTCTTTTCCTAGCGCACTGGACCAAGAATTCTTTGTAGGCTATTCTCTAACTTTTTTTTTTACTTTGTGTGACTCAAGAAGAATAATTAATAAGGATCATAGGTCTAACATGACATTGTTCTTTATAATCTCTAAATCTATTCAGCATGAAGAGTATTCTGCCCTTATGGGTTACCTGTCAGAATGTATCCAGATGTCTATATCATAAAAAACTTACAAAAATGAAACACTTCACTCTTTCTGTTACAGAATTTTATTGATCCTTACAAACAACATTTTGCACGATATGAAGGTGTATTTCTTTAATTAACACTACTAGTAGGTTTAGTTGATTTTTTCTTGCTTGGAGCTAGAACGAAAGATTGTAAATGTGACCTTTTCTTGCATAAACGAGTATTATCTTTACTAATGTCACTGTTAGGACTTCAATATCTCTTTTTGTACACTGCTTTGTTTTTTCCACTATCTACAGCTTGTACATGTACTTTCAAACTTGAAACATGAAAATTCACTACCATAGCATTGTAACTTGTAAGTAAAGTTGTGATTGTTTGAAATAAATTCCTTCATGAGCGTTCAAATTTAAACATCCAGACGGTCAATACGATTCGTACCATACTTAATCTTAGAAACTGTGGTCTTCCCCAACAATGTATAGAAATTGCTATACATTACAGAGGTGGTATCTAACTGGATTAATTGATGGCAGAAATTAATAACCAAAAAGATAGTTTGCATGATTCAATGTTCCGTAACATCAGACAAATGTAGTTTTTGTCCAAACATCTTTGTTCCTTGAATAATACCTACTGTATCCCAAATTACTATTTTCAGGAACTGTTAACGTTGTGTTTTAACATCATTGGTCTTTACAGGTCTTCCCGACACCCCGCCTTCCAGATATAATCCCTGGCCTCCTCCATCGTGGCTGTGCCTTTCTTATGTGGTAAATGGCAGCCAGCGCTTCTGGGAGGAGCACCATGATGCGGTATTCCATCGCCTGTAGCCAAAATGAGAAAATGGGTTATATGTAAGACAGCTAATGCCAAACCAATGTAAATTGTTGCTTCTCTAAATTGCCCACTTCTAGTTTTTTATTCGCCAAAAATCTGGTTCATAGTGCTCATGTTTTGGCACCAGTTGAGAGTTTAAAAACTCCTTTTCTTCCTATTTGTAATTTAAATTCATCTTTATTTTAAAAACGTTTGAAAATCATTTTTATCAGGTTTAAAAATCATCTTTTACCAACCAGCCACATTAGTCTGTTAACATACATACATACACTTACATGTAATTCGACGTATAGGCTTACATACAGCCAAACCAATAAATAAATAGGCTTACATAACAAT